CAGCACCCATTTTTTTTCTTTCATGGCATTCATCATAGTTTATTATCATATGTGGATTATTAGGAGGATCTCCTTATCTGGACTGAAGGTTAATCAGAGTTCAATGTATGAACACTTTGCTCAGGGCCAGAAACAGTATGTATTCAAAAAATATTCATTGCATGAATTAACAGGTATTCCTATTTTGTAACATATTCCTCATTCACTCTCTATATAAGATTCAAGGTGTTCCAGTATCATAGAGAATAAGACAATACTAAAATTTTAAAGTTCCTGAATGAAATCAACTATCAAGTATAATCTAGTTAGATGAAATGCACATTAAGCTGCCACTTTATACTGGAAATAGTATTGATTATGGAAACTTAAATGAGCCTTAGACAGGATCCTGATCTCAAGAAGATTATAAGGACAATGCCCAGCCCATTTAAGGAAATTTTTGAATACTGAGAAAATATTTGCATCAGTAGAAAAGAAATTGCATGTATAATGAAAGGATCACAGATTGAACCCAAACATAAACACAGAAAGAATAGTCTTGGCTGCTAAGCGGCTTGTGTTTGAATCTTTGCTACTTCTAAGCTATAAAACTTGACCTCAGATTTCGTATCCATAAAATGGGAAAACCACGTTACTTATTTCATAATTGCTGTAAAGATTAAGTAAGTCAATATACATAAAGCTCTCAGAACACTGCCTGATGCATAATAACTGCACTAGACATGGTTGTATAAAAGTTATCAAGGTTGTTATTACTGATGTAGGAACTAGACTGAAAAGAATTGACAGAATGGTATAAGGTAAGTCAAAAAAGCTTTTTAAAAATCGTGAATTTTTAAGTTGTGTTTCCAAGAAGCACTAACAATTAGAAATGAGATGGGTTCTTCCTGAGGGATAGAAGGTATAATGGTGGTGACTAGAAAATACTAAAAATATTTAAATTAAAAATATTTCCCATTTAGCTTGTTGATTTGGTGACCTATTCCCCATAAGACCTGGGCATCCATCTGCCTTGGGAAGATTAGAAATGATACATAAGAAATGCAAAGAGAAGAGAGAGAAAAAGATGGCAGCATGAGTTGTGTGGCAGAAATTTTCTCCCAAAATCACATATATTTTTTAAATACAGCAAATAAACTATTTCTAAAAGAGTGACCAGAAGTAACAGTACACCAGCCAGTCTACATCTGGGAGAAGTTAACATCTCATGGAAAAGGGTAAGGTAAAAAGCTGCAAATCAGCTGGACCCAAGCACTTCCCCAACCCCAGCTCACCAGCGGGGGGAAAAGAATCAGAGCAGGGAGGGAGTGGAAGCACAGGACTGCTAAATACTCAGACCTAGAAATCTTCCCCGGGAGCATGGACCCACAGTGCATGGGGCTCTGGAGACTGGAGGAGCTGAAAGGCAGAGTGTGAGACTAAGACTGTGAACAGGTTCCCACAGCCAGCTGTTGTGGGACAAAAGAAAAGCAGGCACTTTAAAGGACCTCTCAACGGTCAGATGGCTGCTTGGGGGGCAAGGGCTTGAGAGAAGGAAGAGGAGGACAAAATCGTATTGGTACACTCAGCCCAGGAAGCTGGGAACTTTCAGGAGCTTCAGGCACCCTATCCCCCTGGTTGGCAACACAGCCCCAAGGCCCCTTATAGAAATAAGCAGCCTGCTGCTCCTTCCTACCCAGCAGCACTTATGTGCAAACTGGCTGTCCCCGCCAAATTTGCAGACCAGCCAGAGGGCAGCCCCACCTATAACAACTACAGAGCTCAGTGCAGAGGCTTCTCCCTGCATGAGGCTAACCGGCCCAGACCCAGAGGCTCCTCCATGTATGTGGTTCACTGGCACAGACAGTGGAGATGGGAACTGAGACTGGGAGCCATGAAGGGGCTTTGTTATCACAGTGGAACCCGCGCCACTTGCCTGCAACACCCGCCATTGCCATATGCCATCCTGAGGGCCATCCCACCTGTAGCAGTTTAGGTAATTAACCCAGAGGCTGTTCCCTGTGCACGGTTAAGTGTCAAAGACAGGGGAGACAGGCACGGCAACCAGAAAGCAAGACAGAACTCTCTCCTCCCAGCTGACACCTGTGCCACTCACCAGCGACCACTTCCATGCATTTCAGGATAATGAAAAGGCAGAAGAACCTTGGTCAATCCAAAATCCCTCACACACCAGAAAGAGGACTCAGTGAGATGGAAGTCACCAATCTTCCTGAAACAATTCAAAATAAAAGTCTTAAACATGCTAATGGAGCTACAGAAAAATGTTGAAGAGCTAAGAGATGTAATTAAGGAGATAACTGAACTAAAACAAACAACGGAAGGATTTAAAAGCAGATTAAGTGAGGTAGAGGAGGCAGTGAATCAAATAGAAATCAGAGAACAGAAATACAGAGAAGCTGAGGCAGAGAGAGAAAAAGGATCTCTAGGAATGAGAGAATATTAATACAACTGTGTAACCAATCCAAATGGAACAACATTCGCATTAAAGGAGTACCAGAAGAATAAGAGAGAGAAAAAGGGATAGAGGGTGTCTTTGAAGAAATAACTGCAGAAAACTCCCCTAATCTGGGGAAGGAAATAGTCTCTCAGGTCATGAAAGTCCACAGATCTCCCAAATCAAGGGAACCAAGGAGGACAACACAAAGACATATAATAATTAAAATGGCAAAGATCAAGGACAAGGACAGAGTATTAAAAGCAGCAAGAGAGAGAAAAAAGATTACCTACAAAGGAAAACCCATCTGACTATCATCAGACTTCCCAGCAGAAACCCCACAAGCCAGAAAGGAGTGGCATGATATATTCAATGGAATGAAACAGAAGGGCCTACAACCAAGAATACCCTACCTAGCAAGTTTATCATTAAATTTGAAGGAGGGATTAAACAATTCCCAGATAAGCAAAAGTTGAAGGAACTTAGCTCCCACAAACCATCTCTACAGTTTATTCTAAAGGGCCTGCTCTAGATGGAAGTGTGCCTAAGACTAAATACTGTCACCAGAGAAAATAAAACCACAGCAAAGGAAATAGAACAACTAACTACTAACCAAATGCACAATTAAAATGGCTACCCACAAAGTCGGTCAAGGGATACACAAAGAATACAGAATATGGCACCTAAAATACAAATAGGGAAGGAGGAAGAAAAAGAAGGCAGAGAAAAAAAGAATCATCAGATTGTGTTTATAATAGTGTAATAAGTGAGTCAAGGTAGACTGCTAGATACCAAAGAAGCTTCCCTTGAACCTTTGGTAACCACAAATCCAAAGCCTGCAATGGCAATAAGTACATATCTATAGATAATCACCCTAAATGTAAATAGACTGAATGCACCAATCAAAATACACAAGAGTCACAGAATGGATAAAAAAGCAAGAACCATCTATATGCTGCCTAAAAGACACTCAATTCAAACCCAAAGATATACAAAGACTAAAAGTGAAGGGATGGAAAAAGATATTTCATGCAAACAGGGAGTAAAAAGCCGTTGCGGTACTTGTACCAGACAAAATAGACTTCAAAACAAAGAAAGTCACAAGAGACAAAGAAGGACATTACATAACGACAAAAGGGTCAGTCCAACAAGAGGATATAACCATTATAAATATCTATGCACCCAACACAGGAGGACCTACATACGTGGAACAAATACTAACAGATTTAAAGGAGGAAATAGAAAACAATGCATTCATTTTAGGAGACTTCAACAATCTACTCATTCCAAAGGACAAATCAACCTGACAAAAAATAAGTAAGGACACAGAGAACAACACATAAGAACAGAGAGACCTAACAGACATCTATAGAACACTCCACCCAAAAGCAGCAGTATACATTCTTCTCAAGTACACATGGAACATTTTTCAAGAATAGACCACATACCTGGCCACAAAAAGAGCCTCAGCAAATTTTAAAATACTGAAATTGTACCAACCAAGTTCTTAGAACACAAAGGTATGAAACTAGAAATAAATTGTACAAACAAAACAAAAAGGCTCACAAACATATGGAGGCTTAACAACATGCTCCTAAATAATCAGTGGATCAATGACCAAATTAAAACAGACATCAAGCAATATATGGAGACAAATGAAAACAACAGTGCAATGCCCCAACTTCTGTTGGACACAGTGAAGGCAGTTGTAAGAGGAAAGTATATAGCAATCCAGGCCTATTTAAAGAAGGAAAAACAATCCCAAATGAACAGTCTAAATTCACAATTACTGAAATTGGAAAATGAAGAACAAATGAGGCCCACAGTAGAAGGAGGGACATAATAAAGATCAGAGAAGAAATAAATAAAATTGAGAAGAATAAAACAATAGAAAAAAATTAATGAAACCAAGAGCTGATTCTTTGAGAAAATAAACAAAATAGATAAACCCCTAGCCAGACTTATTAAGAGAAAAAGAGAATCTACACATAAAAACAGAATCAGAGAAGAGAAAGGAAAAATCACTATGGATACCAGAGAAATACAAATAATTATTACAGAATACTTTGAAAAATTATATGCCAACAAACTGAACAACCTAGAAGAAATGGACAACTTTCTAGAAAAATACAACTTTCCAAGACTGACCCAGGAAGCAACAGAAAATCTGAACAAACCAATTACCAGCAAAGAAATTGAACTGGTAATAAAAAAACTATGCAAGAACAAAACTCCTGGACCAGATGGCTTCACCGCTGAATTTTATCAGACATTTAGAGAAGACATAATACCTATTCTCCTTAAAGTTTTCCAAAAAATAGAAGAGGAGGGAGTACTTCCAAACTCATTCTATGAAGCCAGCATCACTCTAATACCAAAACCAGGCAAAGACACCACAAAAGAAGACAACTAAAGACCAATATCCCTGATGAACATAGATGCAAAAATACTCAACAAAATATTAGCAAACCGAATTCAAAAATACATCAAGGACTTCTCGCACTCCCAACTGCCCGCCATCCAAGCCAGCTGCCGTTATTCAGGCTAGCATCCTGGACGTCCAGCCATGCTCTGCGTTCCGCTGCTGCTCACTGGGCTCAGTGGGCTCCAGGAAGGCGTCGATTCTGAAAGACTACGTGAGCAAATTACAATTCCAGAGAAGATACGGTCACTGTATAGTGAAGGATTTGTATCACATGTGTCCTACAACATTGTAATTGAAGGGAGAACATATACTGTGAACCTAATGCAAAGCGTTTTTGCCACTACCAAGGGTATACTAAAGGTTATCCAAAGTCTGTGGTGACCATTAGCACATGTGCTGGACTCGGGCTTAATACAGTTTGAAAATACAAGTTATAGAATTGAGCCCTTGGAGCCTTCAACTGGTTTTGAACACATAATTTATCAAGTTAAACCTAAGAGTGCAGGCATTTCTTTATATACAGAGAAGGATGCTGAGTCAAGAGAAGTGCCCTATATACAAAGCATAGAGCCTTTTACAGAGTTAACTCAGTATTTAGAAATGCATGTTGTAGTCAAAAAAAATATGTGTACTCATATGGGTTCTGATTCAGGTGTTGTTATTCAAAAAATCTTCCAGTTGATGAGATTGACTAATGCTATTTTTTCTTCATTTAATATTAGAATAATTCTATCTTCATTGGAGCTTTGGAGAAATGTAAATATAATTACAGTAACCAGAGATGCTAATGACTTATTACACAGATTTCAAAATGGAAAAGATCATATCTTGTTTTGCGTTCACACAATGTAGCATTTTTACTTGTTTACAGAGAAAAATCAAAGTGTGTTGGTACAACCTTTCAAGGGAAGAGGTGTGACAATCAGTATGGAGGAGGTGTTGCTCTGTATCCCGGAAGCTTAAATCTGGAATCACTTGCAGTTATTATGGCTCAACTGCTGAGCGTCAGTATGGGAATAGCTTATGATGACATTAACAAATGCCAGTGCTCAGGAGCTATCTGCATAATGAACCCAGAAGTGATTCATTCCACTGGTGTGAAGAGCTTTAGTAACTGCAGCATGGAGGATTTTGCACATTTTATTTCAAAGCCAAGTTCCCAGTGTCTTCGAAATCAGCCACGCTCAGATCCACCATACAAAGCTGCCGTCTGTGGCAACAGGGAAGTAGAACAATGAGAGCAATGCGACTGTGGGAGTGAGGAGGACTGTGCTTTCTTTGCCAGCCTTGTGCTGTGATTCCAAGACGTGTACACTGACAGTAGGTTCAGTCTGCGCCTCAGGACCATGCTGTACAGGCTGTCAGTACGCACAGAAAGGAAAAGAATGTAGGTCTGCCTCTGGTGAAGGTGATCTCCCTGAATACTACAACGGATCCTCTGCCTCATGTCCAGCAAACCTTTTTGTCCAGGATGGCCATCCGTGTGGAGAGAATCAGTGGCTCTGTGTCAGTGGGCTCTGTGTCAGCAGCACAACACAATGCCAGGATACATTTGGTGAAGGTTCAACTTTTGGTCCTCCAGAGTGCTAATCTGTCCTTACTCATTCCGTTTCTTGGTGTATTGACTTTTATCCTGCTGAAAGTTTATTGCGAATGGAAAAATCGGAGAACTGAGGAGGAGGACACAAGCGATGAGCAACTTGGAAGTGAGAGTGAATCCAAAGTGTAGCCACATGGGTTGATTGTAGAGCTCAGTGAAGCAGCTCCCATGGAAAAGGCGCCCTGTTGAAACTGATGAGGCCACAGAAGGTATGGTAGATGAAGTGGGTGTGGTGGAAGATGCTGTTGAGGATGGTAACCATTCTCCAGACTCCATATCTTCCGACCCGCAGAGCCGTCGCTGTCGCCTTCACCCCTGAAACGGGGCCCGCTCTGGACGCTCCGCCGCAGGTCCGACGGCGCCAGGCTGAAGGAGGCACAGCTGGACGAGCGCAGGTCAGGCCAGGGCGGCGGCTCCAAGTCCGGGCCGATCGCCGCCCTCCGCCCGCCGCGGGAGAGTCGCGAAGCGGCGAGTGTGGCGCCGGGGGCCCAGCCGGCGCGAGGAGGCGATCCGAGGCCGGGGGGCGAGGTCGGTGCCGCCGGGGCCTGCGAGCCGGGAGGAAGGCGCAGCCGAGCACAGCGAGGGTCCACCATCTGGGCTCCGCCGGGCGCGTTGCGCGGACGGAACGACGGGCCAGAGGCGCCGGGACGGGGCCGGCGGACCGCAGCACGGACACAGTTCAGCGAGCAGTTCCTCACGACCGCGCTCGCGACGCTATTCGGGTCTTGCTTTTTTATTTTATTTTATTTATTTTATTTATTTCATATATTCATTTTATTATCATTAATCTACAATTACATGAAGAACATTATGGTTACTAGACTCTCCCCTTCACCAACTCCCCCCCACAAACCCCATTACAGTCACTGTCCATCAGTGTTGTAAGATGCTGTAGAGTCACTACTTCTCTTCTATGTGTTGCACATCCCTCCTTATGCCCCCCCCACACATTATACATGCTAATAGTAAGGTCTCCTTTCTTTTTCCCTGCCCTTATCCCTCCCTTCCCACCCCTCCTACCCAGTCCCTTTCCCTTTGGTAACTGTCCGTAACATATGATTCTGCTGCTGTTTTGTTCCTTCAGCTTTTCTTTGTTCTTATACTCCACATATGAGTGAAATCTTTTGGTACTTATCTTTCTCTGTCTGGCTTATTTCACTGAGCATAATACCCTTTAGCTCCATCCATGTTGTTGCAGATTGTAGGATCTTTTTTTTTCTTATAGCTGAGTAATATTCCATTGTGTATAGGTACCAACCACATCTTCTTTATCCATTCATCTACTGATGGACATTTAGGTTGCTTCCATTTCTTGGCTATTGTAAATAGTGCTGCGATAAACCTAGGGGTGCACCTGTCTTTTTCAAACAGGAGTGCTGCATTCTTAGGGGAAATTCCTAGAAGTGGAATTCCTGGGACAAATGGTATTTCTATTTTGAGAATTTTGAGGAACCTCCATACTGCTTTCCACAGTTGTTGAACTAATTTGCACTCCCACCAGCAGTGTAGGAGGGTTCCCCTTTCTCCGCAACCTTGCCAACATTTGTTGTTGTCTTTTGGATGGTGGCGATACTTACTGGTGTGAGGTGATATCTCATTGTGGTTTTAGTTTGCATTTCTCTGATGATTAGCGATGTGGAGCATGTTTTCATGTGTCTGTTGGCCATCTGAATTTCTTCTTTGGAGAACTGTTCAGCTCCTCTGCCCGCTTTTTAATTGGATTATTTGTTTTTTGTTTGTTGAGGTACATGAGCTCTTTCTATATTTTGGATGTCAACCCTTTCTCGGATCTGTCATTTATGAATATATTCTCCCATACTGTAGGTACCTTTTCATTCTATTGATGGTGTCCTTTGCTGTACAGAAGCTTTTCAGCTTGATATAGTCGCATTTGTTCATTTTTCTTTTGTTTCTCTTGCCCGGGGAGATATGTTCATGAGGAAATCGCTCATGTTTATGTCCAAGCAATTTTTGCCTATGTTTTTTTCTAAGAGTTTTATGTTTTCGTGACATACATTCAGGTCTTTGATCCATTTCGAATTTACTTTTGTGTATGGGGTTAGACAGTGATCCAGTTTCATTCTTTTACATGTAGCTGTCCAGTTTTTCCAGCACCATCTGTTGAAGAGAATATCATTTCTCTATAGTATGTCCATGGCTCCTTTATCATATATTATTTGACCATAAATGTTTGGGTTAATGTCCGGGGTCTCTATTCTGTTCCATTAGTCTGTGGCTCTGTTCTTGTGCCAGTAGCAAACTGTCTTGATTACTGTGGCTTTGGAGTATAGCTTGAAGTTGGGAAGTGAGATACCCCCAACTTTATTCTTCCTTCTCAGGACTGGTTTGGCTATTTGGGGTCTTTGGTGTTTCCATATGAATTTTTGAACTATTTGTTCTAGTTCGTTGAAGAATGTTGTTGGTAATTTGATAGGGATTGCATCAAATCTGTATATTGCTTGGGGCAGGATGGCCATTTTCATGATAATAATTCTTCCTAGCCAAGAGCATGGGATGAGTTTCCATTTGTTAGTGTCCTCTTTAATTTCTCTTAAGAGTGTCTTGTAGTTTTCAGGGTATAGGTATTTCACTTCCTTGGTAAGGTTTATTCCTAAGTATTTTATTCTTTTTGATGCAACTGTGAATGGAATTGTTTTCCTGGTTTCTCTTTCTATTAGTTCATTGTTAGTGTATAAGAAAGCCACAGATTTCTGTGTGTTAATTTTGTATCCTGCCACTCTGCTGTATTCTGATATCCATTCTAGTAGTTTTGGAGTGGAGTCTTCAGAGTTTTTTATGTACAATATCATGTCATCTGCAAATAGTGACAGTTTGACTCCTTCTTTACCAATTTGGATTCCTTGTATTTCTTTGTTTTGTCTAATTGCCATGGCTAGGACTTCTAGTACTATGTTGAATAACAGTGGGGAGAGTGGGCATCCCTGTCTTGTTCCCGATATCTGAGGAAAAGCTTTCAGCCTCTCGCTGTTTGGTATGATGTTAGCTGTGGGTTTATCATATATGGACTTCATTATGTTGAGGTACTTGTCATCTATATCCATTTTGTTGATAGTTTTATCATGAGTGGATGTTGAATTTTGTTGAATTCCTTTTCAGCATCTATGGAGATGATCATGTGGTTTTTGTCCTTGTTTTTGTTTATGTGGTGGATGATGATGGATTTTCAAATGTTGTGCTGTCCTTACATTCCTGGGATGAATCCCACTTGGTCATGGTGTATGATCCTTTTGATGTATTTTTGAATTCGGTTTGCTAATATTTTGTTGAGTATTTTTGCATCTACATTCATCAGGGATATTGGTCTGTAATTTTCTTTTTTGGTGGGGTCTTTGCCTGGTTTTGGTATTAGGGTGATGTTGGCTTCATAGAATGAGTTAGGGTATTCCCTTCTCATCTATTTTTTGGAAAACTTGTAGGAGAATGGGAGTTATATCTTCTCTGTATGTCTGATAAAATTCAGAAGTAAATCCATCTGGCCCTGGGGTTTTGTTCTTGTGCAGTTGTTTGATTACTGCTTCAATTTCTTTGTTGGTAATTGGTTTGTTTAGATTTTGTGTTTCTTCCTTGGTCAGTCTTGGAAGGTTGTATTTTTCTAGGAAATTGTCCATTTCTTCTAGGTTTTCCAGCTTCTTAGCATATAGGTTTTCATAGTAGTCTGTAATAATTCTTTGTATTTCTGTTGG